CAATTATATCATTGGCTTTTAAAAGATCCCTTTTATTATTTTAAAATTATATTCTTGACTGTTGCTAATACATGCATAGTGTCAATGGCAAATAAAGATGATTTCTATTCTATTTTATACGCCATTGGAGATAGTAGGAAAGGTAGTTGTGAAGGGTGGTTGTAGTCAGACAAATCAGGGTGTCATGGCGTCAGTGAGAGGTCCAGAATGCGGTGTCGTCAGCGAACTGAGCAATACCATAGGAAGTGTCGGTGGGGCCGTTTGGAAATGAGGACAGAAGGTCCCCGACGTAGAGAATGTACAGAAGAGGGCTGATTGCCGAACCTTGGAGGACCACGCCATGGAGGGTCAATAAGGTGGAGAGGGTGCCACAATGACGGACATGAGCGGTGCGGACGTTGATGAAAATCCACCTGATGACTGAAACTTGGAACTGGAGGTCTAGAAGGGTTACATGGAGTCCATCGTGCCAGACAATGTCAAAAGCCTTCTGGACGTCCATGAGGGAAAGGATAGTTGGACGGTAGAAATTGTTTGGAGGTATGTAACAACCCGCAGAAGCTGATCATACATGTTGACTCCGGGACGGAAGCCTGCTTGGGTGTTTGGGAGGAGGCTAAGAGAGTTCAAATGGATGTGGATCGCAGCAAACAGTACTTTCTCGAAAAGTTTGGAAATTGTTGAGGTGAGAGTGGTGGGCCGGTAGTTAGACGGGTTGCGATGGTCTTTGTGAGGTTAGGGGAAGAGGATGACATGAGCGTGCTTCCACGCTTTATGGGAGTATCCTAATAGGAGCACGGAAGTGTAGAGGGTGGTGAGCAGGGTTATGAGGACCGGAGGAGTCTTCTTGAGAAGAAGGCTAGAAATGCCATCAGGCCCATTTGAAGTGTTTTTGAGGAAGCGCCGTTTCCGGTCAACCTCTTGTTATGTGATGGGTGCGGTCAATTCATGAAGCAGAAGGTGAGCAGGGATGGTGTCCGGGGGATTGAAAGTGTCGGGCTGTTGTGTGACCAGGGCTTCGACTGCTGGGAGGTGTTCCTTGTCAAAGTCGGGGTGCGTAGGGAGGGTGTGAATGGAGGAAAGACTGTCTCGGAAAGCTTCAGCCATGCCTTGGCTATCCGAAACAAGGGTGCCATTGACTCGGAGGTGAGTGGTTGGGGTGTTGGGGTTGAGGTGGGGGTGAAGGTAGGGGGAGGCAGGGTCACGGAGTAGGAGCCGGCGCGCATGGCCTTTGCCTTTGATAAGGGCTAGAACGTCAGGGTGAAGCCTGAGAGGGGTCCGAAGGACTCTCTTGGCCGGTACTGAACGGCCAGTATGTCTTTGCGGCGAGGATAGCTCCTGAGCCGGGGTCTGGGGGGATTGAAGGCATGTCAGAGGTGTCAGTGAGTCTGTGAGTGTGTGTGTGTGTAGTGTTCCCAGTCCACATTTAGAAAATCTGTTATCATTATGTCGTCCTCGGTGTCAGTTTTAAAGGGGAAGGAGGTGATTTTTAGTTCGAAAATGAGTGGGGCGTGGTCTAAGCCTATATCATAAGCCGGAAGAGATGTTCGTGATTTTCCTGGACAGGCTGGCTGAGGATAGGAGTTTGTCTGTGGACGTTGGTAGTTGGCCTACGTAGAGAGATATCTAGTGCAGTGTTTCCCAACCAGTGCGCCGTGGCACACTGGTGTGCCGGTAGGCCTCTGTAGGTGTGCCGCGAAATTTGAAGTAGTTAAAAAACTTTTGATGTCGTAATAGAGGTGCTTTAAGTGCGGTTGCGCGTTCATGAGAACACAATCTTTTGTGTAGAATTACTTGTCAGTGTTGAATCCATGTTTCCAATTTTGATAAGTCTGCGTCTGTTTGAAGGAAATATAAAAAAGTACTTCTCATCCCTTGATATTTTGAACATTATTGCCACCGGGACTGATGTACGAATGATATGATAGGTTCCGTACCTTTTTATTCCGTGTCCAGTCCTTAAAATAGTCAAGGGTGACTAGTTTCGGGTCATAAATAACCCATTTTCAAACCCATGTCATCAAATTGATTGGTCCATAAATCTGATAGCAGCCTTCGTTATAAGATACAAATGCACGTCATCTTGTTAATTAAGCATAAAGTTCAACATTAAAAATTACATTCAACATTAAACATAAAGTTCACACATTTTTAACACAAAATACATTTAATGAAGGTAGCCGGCCACATTTATAAGGAACACACTGACGCAGGTAGCACGGCGGACAAGACTGTGGTCATGATATTTTTGTCACAATATTTTTGTAGAAAAGTGTGCCGTGACCGTGACTACAAACGTGTTCTAGTTAGTGTGCCCTGAACGGAAAAAGGTTGGGAAACACTGATCTAGTGGGTGGGGTCATGTGGTGAACCATTTGGAAGTCTAGCAGAAAATGAAATAGTAGCGTACCCGGGGCTGTAGTATGCGGTCACCACTACAGAATGATGGTGTATGATGTATGATGGTGGCAATTCAAGTCAGCTGCTATGACCAGTCTTGGGTGGGTAGCAGCGACCTGAGTCATTAGGCCTACTATCTCAGGGGTCAAGGGATTGCCATAAAGGGTTAGACGCATGATCGGATTTTGGCAAGGGAAGGTGGATTTTGGCCATGAGAGTGAAAGAGAGGTCACCAAGGAGTTTGGGAGGGGAGTACATCGAGGTTGGGTCCATGGGCGAGGATGGTAAAGCCACCAGAAATCGGGAGGTGATCTCGCTGGAGCAGGGTGTAGCCAGGAATAGAGGCTGGGGAAAAGTTTGGTTTCATTGAAGGTAAGGATGTCGATCTCATGGTCTTTGGTCAGGCTAATGATTTGGGAGCGTCTGGTACGGAAGGAGTTAAGATCTATTCCTATTGGACCACTACCAATAGCATGTCTGTTGGGATCGGTGTGGATGACATTCAGCCCCGATCCTACAGCCTGCAGGATGGTGCGCGTGTCAAACAGGCGTTTGGTAAGGCCGTTGGCGACATCACTCACACGCTGGCGGTTCTGGGCCGGGGTAGGCGTGGGGATCAGTGAGAGGAGGGCATTAAAGGTCCCTTTGAACCCCTCCCTGATAGCAGTGAGGAGAGTAACTAGGAAGGCAGTGAGGTCATCGTGAGTGAAATAGGCATGTGAGTGACGTGAGTGACATGATGGGGTGGTGTAAGATGTTTGTGGGGGCTTGTCAACAGGTATGCTGGGGGTGGGTGTGTCAGAGGTGTGTGTTATGGTTTTCTGAGATTGGGGTTGAGTGTATTGTGAGTTATCGGGTCGTGTAGTATTGGAATCCTGCTGAAGATTGGGTGAGTGGTTTTCAGTCCTGAGTGGGGGAAGGTCGGCGAGATGCAGGTTCCAGGGGTTCAGGGCGGGATAGTTCTCACAGGAGGGGCAGCCACATCTCATTCAAGTTTATCCCGCCTTCAAGCCAAATTTTATCAAAATCAGACCAAAATTACTCATGTCATTGTGTTTAGGAACATTTAGCCATATATATAAATCTTACTCAATATCGGCCTAAGGTATTATTCTCCCCTAGGGAAATTTTCTAATAATAACAATACATAGTTGCAGTTTAGGAGCAATGATATATTTATTGAGAGATATAGAATATATGGTATACATATATATGTTTTTGAGTGCACATAGGTATAGAAGTTCTGTGTTTCGTCCCCACTTGCCAGTGAGTACTGTGTTGCGAGTGATTAATACTATACTATACAATTATATTAGGTACAGTAATCATGTAATACTAATGTTTCAATCACAGTACAATATTTGTTCTACAGGGTTAGTAAAAAGTGTGGAGACCCCCTGTTATTTTTTTAACGGCCCATACTAGAAAAACTAAACTCGGCACACCATTATGGCATGTTATAAAGTACTTTTTGGGCACAACCGCCACTTAGTGTTCATCCCCAAAATGGGGGATTTTGGGGGAAACTAAAAGATTTCAAATACAAAGACCCATCGCGTGACCCCTCATTTTGAAGGTCCTGGTAAAAGAAAACCAACAACGCAAACTAGAGGTCTCTATCTCAGCTCAGTACAAAATGGCAGCCAATTGAAATTCTCATAAGTTCCCAAACCCAAAATGGGGGATTTTGGGGGAAACTCAAAAATTTTAAATGATAAGCCCCATCGAGTGACCCCTCATTTTGAAGGTCATAATAAAAGAAAACTAACAACGCAAACTCTAGGTCTCTATCTTAACACAGTAAAATATGGCAGCCAATTGAATATAAAATTGCAAGTTATTTCCGATTTCTAAAGATTTCAATCAGCTTTCATTTTTTACTGGATTGAGATAGAAACCTCTAGTTTGCGTTGTTAGTTTTCTTTTACCAGGACCTTCAAAATGAAGGGTCACTTGATGGGGCTTATCATTTAAAACTTTTGAGTTTGCCCTAAAATCCCCCATTTTGGGTTTGGTAAGCAAGTGGCTATTAGGCTTAATAAGTACTTCATAACATGCCAAAAAGGTGTGTAGAGTTTAGTTTTCCTAGTGTGAGCCGCTACAAAATTTACAGGGGGTCTCCAGACTTGAAAAGCTGCAAGTTAAATTCAACTTCTGAGAATTTCAATTGGCTGCTATTTTTTACTGGATTGAGATAAAGACCTCTAGTTTGCATTTTTGGTTTTCTTTTAGCAGGAAGTTCAAAATGAGGGGTCACTCGATAGGTCTTTGTATTTGAAATTTTTGAGTTTCCCCCAAAATCCCCCATTTTGGAGATGTACACCAAGTGACGGTTATGCCCAAAAAGTACTTCATAACATGCCATAAAGGTGTGCCGAGTTTATTTTTTCCAGTATGGGCCGCTAAAAAAATAACAGGGGGTCTCCACAATTTTTACTAACCCTGTATATTGTGCTATAATTTAGTATGAAATTACATAAATACTAAAATAAGTCTTGTAGGCTGTATTTTTAGGGATAGGATTGAGCTGGGTTACTGGAGGGTCAATATCATCAAGATTGTAGTCTACTTTATTAGCATTATAAGATTTCTTGTTACAGATTCAATCTCTACCAGCAGGATAAGCCTCACTGGCTGGACCAAGAGCCAATACCATGGGAAGAGAGGGAAAGAGCTAGGAGGAAATGTGTCAAGTGGCTCAGGAACTACCATCAAACAGCCTAGAACCACAACAAAGTTTAGGCATATAGAAGATAGTTAAAAACTTTAATTCATACCTTATTTTAACCTTCTTAACTTATTTTAGCTCTTGTATAGTTAATTATTGTTAACAGTATTTGAAATTTATCACAGGAATCTTTATCATGGTTTTCTGAATCGTTTTTATTAAAATGTATTTATAGCACCAACGTTATTTTCAATGGAAATATTCTTTGCCTAATAGATATTGGTTTGAATAAAAAAATAATACAATTCATGAGATGAATAATAAGAGTAACAATACCGAGCAGGATCTATTTCACTGTTTTACAATATTTTACAATATTAAGCTGCAAATAAGATTTAAAAGGCATAAAAAAGGAATATTGAACATGTGGATGGCTATTAATATCCAGGAATCTCCTTTTAAAAATATATAAAAATTATTCAGACACACACTATTTAACCCTTGCTGGGCCACGGACAGATATATCCATCAATTTCTGTTCATGTTCTGGGCGGGAAACGGATATATACATCCGGAGAAATTTATTTTCTGGGCTATAGACGGATATATCCGTCAAAAAAACCTATTGATACAGATTGTTTATAAATAGAAAACTCATGTTTTAATCTCTATTAATGATCTTCCAAGTAACATTAAAAAAAATACTAAGTCTATTTTACATGCAGATGATACAACTTCTTTTCAAAGAGCAGAACAATAGTTGAATTACAACCAATAACCCAAACTGCAACGAGTGATGCCTCAGCATGCTTTTAGTCAGTTTTCTTCTGAACAACAATAAAACTCAAAACATTGTATTCAGTTTAAGACCCACAGATCATTAAGATTATTTTAACCTTATTAACTTATTTTAGCTCTTGTATAGTTAATTATTGTTAACAGTATTTGAATTTTATCACAGGAAACTTTATCATGGTTTTCTGAATCGTTTTTATTAAAATGTATTTATAGCACCAACGCTATTTCCAATGGAAATATTCTTTGCCTAATAGATATTGGTTTGAATAAAAAAATAATACAATTGGTGAGATGAATAATAAGAGTAATAATACCGAGCAGGATCTATTTCACTGTTTTACAATATTTTACAACATTAAGCTGCAAATAAGATTTAAAAGGCATAAAACAGGAATATTGAACATGTAGATGGGTATTAATATCCAGGAATCTCCTTTAAAAATATATAAAAATTATTCAGACACACACTATTTAACCCTTGCTGGGCTACGGACAGATATATCCATCAATCTCTGTTCATGTTCTGGGCGGGAAACGGATATATACATCCGGAGAAATTTATTTTCTGGGCTATAGACGGATATATCCGTCCAAAAAACCTATTGATACACATCTATATCTATAAAAGAGGAACTATGTATGTGTGTGTGTATGTATATACGTTATGGACTCCGAAACCGCTCGACAGATTGTAATGAAACTTTCAGGCATTATTAAACATCTTTCAAGGATGGTTCGAGTAAAGTTTGGTGCAGATCCGTCAAAAGGGCTCTGCCCCAGAGGGTTTTAAGTGGGCCAATGTCAGACTTTTTGATCTACTATGTTTACAAATAAATATAATTTAAAAGCAGATGTTTACTTTCACCAACTGTTTTGTAGGTTTGAATAATCACAACATTCTGTATTAGCATTATTCATGATTTGAAATAGTGCCACAGTGTTTCTACAGATTGCAGCACAGAAAACTATTTTACTTTTGAATAAGTCCAAATGTATTAAACCCCAATCGCAGCACACCTGTGCACTTAACAACGTTTATATTCTCCAATGTTAAATATTAAAACATAAAAACCTTTATGTAAGTACTGTATTATAAACAATAAAAGGGATGACTTTTTTAAAATTTATGACAACAGCTAATTTGCAACCAAAAGGTGAGTGAGCGTAGCGAACGAACATCAACCTGGAGGCGAGTAAGCGTAGCGAACGAGCTAACCTGAAAACAAGTGAGCGCAGCGAACGATTTCCAACCTGAAGGTGAGTGAGCGTAGCGAACGAACTTCAACTAGGACGTGATTGAGCCATGCGAATACTTATGAAGTTAAGCGGGGCAAAGCCCGCGGGTTCAGCTAGTTGTTTATAAATAGAAAAATAAACATCATACTGCATTACAAAAGGTTTTATTTTGTTTTTGTGGTTGGCAAATGCTGCAACTGTTTCAAGTACTATTTTGCCCCATAGAGTCTTTGAATATTACAAAACTGTCAGTTCGCACAAGGTTGTTAGTTAGTGATGATTACATTTGTGATTTGTGTGTGGCGGAATGGAGTTGGACGAATGCTGATTAAGATACCTGGGCCCAATATATCCTCTACCATCCACCGTTATATCACACACATTTCAAGTCGCTTCTCGAATCTTATTTTGAACAAAGCTAATAGCATCATCAGAGTGCACATTAATACCTTAGCTGCATTTCACATCCAGCTTCCATGTTTTATTACCTATATTTAATAAATACCAAACAGAGATTTAATTATGAATGATTTATATGAATGGACTAGTATTATTACATAATTATATCTACAAGTAGCTAGCGTGAATTCAAATATTAACCAAAGTAAACTGGACCATGACCGATTTGCCATGCTTAAGATTCTACATTATTAATTGACTAAACATTGCCCTAGTCTACACCCTTCCCCAACCTCTATTATTTTATCTACTCATGCTGCTATCACACTACTGAGCAGGGGTGCCCATCCCCCCCCCCCCAAAGCTCACGTCGCAGAATCCCCCCCAAATTCGTTGTTTAAACCATGCCGGAAGATCTGGGAGCTAACCCATAGTTATGTTTATAATGCGGGGAGGGAAGGGGTGCCCCCGACACTTCTTTAAATTTATGGGAATTTAAGCGTTTGAATCAAACTTTTAACCAAATTTAAATTGACAATTTTGCTTGAAAACTCTAGTAGCAAACTATTTGTTAGTTTAGTTTTAATTTAAATGAGTTGGATTTTTAACATGCACACAATTTGAATCAAAATTGGCCATGTAGTTTTTTTTAAATCCGATTTTCCATGAATTAATAGGTTTTAAAAGGGAAAATCACAAAAGTTGCAATAACTTTTGAACCATAATTTTTACGGCATAGAGGGTTTATACAATTTTTGTCATTGTCAAAGAGTATAACATGTTAATTTTTAATCAAAATCGTTCGGGCCAATTCTGAGAAAATTTTATTCATCCATTATTTTATAGGGTTTTATGGAATATCACTATTAAAAATCCAAAATGGAAAAAAACATCTGGAGAGACCATGGATTGGTACCTAAAATACCAAATTTCATCAAAATCTGACTCGGACCACAGGCGTGGTCTGTACCTCTGTACCATACATACCCACATACACACATACAGACAGACAAACACATCACTTCGAAAACCACTTTTTTGGGATCAGGGTTTTTACATAAACAATTATTTTACCATATTAAATTGTAGGGGAGAAAGTACTTAAAGTTATGTCAAAAAGTTTGAGATATTTTCTAAATTACCCTTTAATCCACTTCTGAGTTTGGTCCTTTTTAAATAAGTGTAAAATTTTCAGTCTCAAAAATATTACTAGGCCTAAACTTAATAGTATATTTCGTGCCTAGGGCCAAAAATGTGGTTTTGCTGGTTCGAGATAGTTTTTAAGTTCGATACGAAGTCGAGGACTTAAAACGATCGAGAACTGCAAAACCATTTCAGTCCGTGGTACGAACGCTATTATTCACCACACTATACCCTATTACCATAGATAAAAGGAGTATAGACATATGTCTATACTCCTTTTATCTATGCTATTACCACTAATTCACCTCAATGATAACGCACTGCACACTGATATAGTCAACACAACTACAACTTTAAGGTCATGGGGATAAATAATTTGAGGAATCAGCAAAAATAATAATAAATAGTTGCTACGCAGCGGTGACAATAAAACAACTCTATTGTAATGCTATGGATACTGATTGTGTATTTAATATGCATTCATGTTTTAAGAAAGTAAGCGGACAGCTGATTTTGCGGCCCTAGGATGTAAAAACCTGCTCGATCCCCGAATGACGATGACAGCTGGCATGGCCTGCAAAACGTAACTTTCAGCCACCAATTAATGTACCTATATGTAAAACAGTTTAAAACATCATAGTGTGGTAAAATAGTATATTACAATACTAGTCCTGAATCCCGTGCGAGACGAAGTCGAGTAGTGGTTTTTTTATACGAGTCCGGCCAACACATTTTGGACGAGTGAGGTATGATAGTTTACGCCATACCACTAAATTCGTTCAAATCCCTATATATTACCACCAACTAAAGGACTAAAAATCACTAGTCATAACCTCTAAGAGAGGTTATCTTTTTGTTATAACCACTCATTGCCACCCAAATACAGTATAATCAGCTGATTGGTGTCCGGCAAAACTCATTACAAAAACCCCATTTGATTGAGCTGGTGACAAACAGCTGTTTTCTGGACTAAATCATTCCATGTGAAAATCGTCAAAATAGTGTAGCGTGGTGTAAAAAATAATTATATATCTATTCTAAGACTAGTAAAATTTGTTTGAAGCTCTTTCTAGATTCAAGAAAAGACAATAACAAATACAATTTAATTAATCCAGAATCATGTGTTTCAATTCTTGAAGTTAACGTAAACACATAGCCTATCAAAAACGTTAATTAAATTGTCACAGTAATGTATGTCAATTTCTTCCAATGAATATATGACCCAGGCATAATTATTTGGGAGAGCCAAAATATTATCACAAGCTTTCATGTTGTTGTTCATGTTGTAAAAATAGCAAAATGATTATCATTATCATAATACTTTTATTTCATGAATCAAGTATATATTATAATAAACAAACCTAAAAAACCATCAATAGGTCATCAAGGCAACGAGACTATTTGAGAATGAGTTCATAATTAAAGGTAAAAACAAACTCAAATTGCAGATACAATTTAATGAGCCAACCATAATCCTTTGACAGCAGTTGGCATGGAGTTGTTCTCACTGTCAAACATGATAGAGTCAGAAAGTGGAAATCCACATAAAAGTATCTATATATTTTATAGCAATTATAAAATGATTTATTAATCAAAATAAAATGTCAAACGGGATTTTGATTGCATAATTACCCCAGTAATAAATTA